GAGGCATAAGCCGCCTCCTGGCAGCAGAGACTCTCCGCGGCAGGGCGCCGACAGAGCAGCCTGCACGCGGCTGAGAAGGCCGCGCGGCTCTGCCGCTGCTGCCAGGATGGATGCCGCCCGCTCCCTCCAGGAGCCCTGCGCTGACGGTATGTTTTCATCAGAAGCAGCGGGGACCGTTGTGTCATCTAATTTGACTTGCGTGTCAACAGCACTAAACGCTCCAGCACACTAATACATAAGGCCCAGGGGCTTCAGTACAGCTATGAGAGTTCTGTTCTTAGGAGACTAAATTGTACTTTTTCCAGCTGTAGACTGGGAGATGCTGAGTGCAACTTAGGTCCAAAACGCTTGTTGACAGAGAACTAACTAACCCGGTGGACTGTGGACAGATAATTCTGGCCAGGGATCGCTGGTGGATTTGGCTAACTTAACCTTTTCACCCTTTGATCTCCGTGTTGAACCAAGGCTGAAAAGCACCTAACTTTTAGATAGCTTTTTCTTGTGCAGTGGTTTTTATGCATTGTGGTCAAGTCACCTCTCAGCCTTCTCTTTGATAAGTGGAATAACTTGAGCTTCCTAAGACCCTTCCTAAAACGCTGTTTTACATCTCGTCATCTCTCCCTTCATTATGTTTATTTTCCTCCTTTAAATTATTTCTAGTGTTTTCTCCTCCTCAGCTGTGGATGCCAGAAATGGCACAGTGTTCTAATGCTACTCTTAGCAGTGCTTGGACAAAGGCAATGTCACTCCCCTTTCTCTCTTGTATATTCCATATTTTATACATTACAGGATTACATCAGTCCAATTTACCGCAGTATTATCCTGAGAGGTCATGTTGAAACATTTATATATAGCGACAGCTAAATTCTTACTCTGAATTATTCCTTGCCAAGCTAGTAGCAATCCACTTGCATTCTTTATTTCCAGATGTATTTGCTTGCATTTTCCAATATTAGAATGAATTTTATTGGACTGGGATGATTTAATCAGGCACATCAGATGATTCTGTAACTAATCAGTCATGTGAATTATCCATTCATATACTAAGCTTTGTCATTTGCAAATTTTACTTGTAAGGATTTCACGTCACCATCTAGATAATTGATAGAGCTATTGGACACTACCAGCTCAAGAACTGATTTCTAGAAAGCTCTGCCTGGGTCACTGCTGTCTCCCCCTTATCAACTACAATTTGAGAGCTCTCAATGAAAAGATATTTAATCCATTTAAGGTGTGTTTTATGCATTCTATGTGACACATACATTCATTTACACACTTACAAGATAGAACAAGGTTTTTAAACAATGCCTATTTCTCTCTCAAATTTTGAGACCACGAAAAATTCTGCAAGCTTTTCTCCGAGCTTTTTCTCTGCTTTTTAGCTTTCTCCAGCAGAGGTTCTGCGCTCCTAGCTACTACCAGTCTCTTCACTAATGATAATTAAAATGGATACAGAACCATTGTCCAGTTGGGATTAGACTGTTTAAGTTTGATGGACAATGGAAGCTATACAGAGATCTCCAAAGATGGAGTCTAAAGAAGGACGATATTGACCAGGGTCTGTTAGGCAGAACAAAAAGTCAGGAAATAGAAGGAAGAATCTGAACGGCCACCAAATCCAGTATTCACAAATCCTTGTAGTGGTTTGCTTTTGTGAAGGATCCTAAAAAAACAAAGTTTTTTAATGACTCTGAAGTTATTCTAACTTCACACATACATTAAAAATAGGTTATTATGAGTAAAAACTAACAGCATTAAGTTTCAGGCCGACAGACAGTTTTATTTTTCCTCTCCCCAGGGACATAACTCCTACTGAAGATATGCAGACCTATGATAATCTGAGGATTTTTAATGGCACTAAGCATAGAAGTTAAATAATTTCTGGTCGCTGTGATAAGCCTATGCTGTGAGATATAGAGTGGTGTAACAGTTCCTTGACAGCGAAGAACTATTTATGCATTTAACATGCAGGCATTTCATCAATCAGAGATTAAGAGATTTGTATAATTTGTTTACTTCTGCAGTCAGATAACTGCTTTAAATAACAGCTCTGTAACTGAAAACATAAATCTATTTTTGCTTTATATGTATTGAGGTTGGTGTATATGTAGATAATAAATACAATCTATCATTGTGTTTCAAAAGCAATAGTACCAGTAATGATGATAATATACTTACCCAGCACATTCATTAGTAGATCTCAAAAGACCTTATGAAGGTCAATGTTATCATCCCCATGTTGAAGATGGAAAAAGTACTGAGATGACTTGCTCAATGTCATATGACAGACCAGTGGTAAAGCTAACAATTAACTTCAGGTTTTCTGAGTCTGAGATGAGAGTTTTTACCTAGCAAGCCACGTTACCTACTCATATAGCCCTGGGGAGGTCTTTTATTTGCATTAGTGTTACGTATCTTTTGTGTACTGTGTTTATTTTATATTATTGTTATAACCCAGAAGAGCAGTCAAGGCTTTTATCACTCTTTTTCCTTACAGAGTTTACCATAAAGAATTTTAAATTTATAGGCTCCACTGAAATTCTCTATTGCCACCTGTGAAAAAGTCAGAAATAAGGTTTGAAATCTTGTTTGAAAAACCTGTAAGTTAGCTGAGTCAGTATTTTCAGTGCGAAAGGACAAAGAGGTAGGGCTGGTCCAATCCCAGTTCAAATCTGTTCCATGTAAAATTACCAAAGGTTTATCAGTTCTGATCATGCTGCGCTTAATAACTGAAAGCAGAGCTGACTTTGTCACTCGTGTTTTCCTCCATCCTCAAAAAAGCTGCCCTGCTTCGATGACTCCATGGCCTTTCTGGTAGCTGCGCCTCTCCTGAGCGCAGTCCCCTGGACGCACACCCCATGCAGTGCCCTCGTTCCAGAAATGGTTCAGTAGCTAGATCCAAACTCACCCTGTCCTGGGCGTAACAGTCCTCAGCTACGTGAGCCCTCTGAAGCTTGGATCGGGCCTCTTGTCCCTTTGAGATTGTTACTTCACACCTTGAAACAAAGCACAGTGAGAGCAGGCCGGGGCAGCCGCACAGCGCCAGACGC